AAAATTAGAATGGATAAATTAGGACATGTGAAATATGTTAAATTTAACACAAAATTTTTTACTGTGTATTACTTACTTCCATTTCATCTCGCACCTCGGGGTTACTATAATTCAGATCAGGTTGCCTATATTCAAATTGATGAAAATACCATTGATTACGATTCGTATCAAAGCTCCAAGCAGGGCCGCTAAATATAAATCGCTGATCCAATTATTGGGCGGTGATTGATTATTATTATTGCCGGTTTTCCATATATAATAATCTTTGTATTTGCCTTCTCCAATAAGACTCTTTCTAAACCACTCATGCTTATCAGAAGTATGATTTGGAACTAGATCCAAAATCACCTACCAGAAAGAATATTTCGATTTTCGATTTATTGAGAAAGAGAAAAATAAAAAAAAAGAAACAAAGCAAATCAATTTCACATGTTTATCTTTATACCGAGTTTTTTCGCTTGAGCAATTAACTTCTCTATATCTCCTATTGTACCAAAAGTCGGATCGATATCTTTGAAATCGGAAATATCATATCCGGAATCAATCATCGGACTTGTGTAAATCGGCGATAGCCAAATGCCAGTGATTCCGGAGTCTACGAAATGCTGTAGTTTCGATAATATTACTGTACTCAGAATATATAAATAAGAACAAAATAAATATTCTTTCTTTAATTATATTCTATAATTTTCTATAATTTATATGTCGATATAAATTATTCTTATCGACTTTATACTATTTTATTTATTTGATGGCTATAAGAAATTAAAAAAGAAAGGCTTCGGGCCGTAGGGTGGTGGTACCAAATAACCATAAAAAGTTAAAACTGTAAAGACAGACCACTAAGGTTGAAAAGTAAAGCTTTTTATTGCTTTTTATTCAATTTTTGCATTTTCTACTATGTGTATTTCCGATCGTTTCTTTATGCGTTTAAATTTGTAACCGTTATTAAGATCCTCATGACCTCCTTTGTTTCATGCTTAGCGTTTATTTTTATAATTTTGTATGACATTGAAAAGGATCTGTAGAAGATCGAAACGTGCGTTGTCTCTTAGAATGTATTTAATAATTTTGTGCTCTGACAGATTTTCCTATTAAATTTACTTTTCAACCTTAGTGGTCTGTCTTTACAGTTTTAACTTTTTATAGTTATTTCGTACAACCACCCTACGTCACGGCCCGAATCCTTTCTTTTTAAAATTTTGTATTATTATTAATAACGGACCGTTAACACCTCTAATTTTTTTAGTTTTTATAAGAAATTAATGTTATATGATTTTTCTTTCACCGTTTAAATCACCTACACCATCGTTATTTGAATCCATGAAACTTCGCGGATAAACCTGATAGAATACTGCATTTTTCCACCATCCTTTATTATATATTTTAGCAAATGTTTTACTTGCAAGAAGCAAAATAACGATCAGACATATCGCTCGTGACATTTTGACAATAATTCCTAATCAATGTACAAAATCTGAAATATTTTATTAAAAATACGCAATAAACTATCTTAATAGTACTTGAAATAAAATAAATCAATAAACATATTTAGAATAACTTTAAAATTTCTCGACCAAGATAACTACTGTACTGATTGACTTTTCGGAGTCACAAAACATTATATATGCCCAACATCATAAATATGACCTTAATGATTAAAGATTAATGACGTCGCGTCGAATGTTCATGATAAAGAATTGATATGAATATGAGAATTTCGTTTAAATATAGCTGTTCCGCGGAATCATATTTCGAAGAATCAATTAATTCTATGTAAAAACTTATGGAGATTCATTAATAACTTTATATGAATATTTTTCTGAATAGATAAATCATTTCTTATTTAATAAATATTATTTGAATAAAGATAGTAATTTTCTTAAACATATTATTATTATTATTCTCAATACATTATTTAAAATAATTATCTGCCTTTTCTTATTAATCTTATAATATAAGACATTAATAAAATAAAATATATTAACTTATCATATTACTAGTGACCAGAGAGAAAAGATAATTTTATTTAAAATACAAAATTGTATAAAAAAAGAAGAATTAATTAGAATCAACGTATGAATTGAATGTTCAAATACTTACTGCAGTTAAAAATTTCTCTTAATAATTTTTTCATCGATAGCATTTATTCGAAATCTATCATCAAATTCATGTAACCAGTAACTAAATGTTATTGATTCAATGGTATATTTATTATAATATTTATTGTACACTATCGCTCAAAAGTATTTGGCCACCCTTAATTTAAGAGAAAACTCGAAAACGAAATTGTGTCTATTGCCTTTCATCGATGTTTATTGTTTATGCGCTAACGGAAAGTCGTTCGCAATAGCTATATTATAAATATCATTTCATGTTTACTAACAGATAGCTACAAAGCTAAATAAGGTATTTATGACTCTTGTCCTAGAATGAATACTTTTAAGTTTTTACTATAAAGGCGCGTGTTTCATCTAAAGAAATTTTAGAAAAATTAATAAGAAGATTGCCGAGATTTTGTAAAGCCGTCATAAAAAATAAAGGAGAATGTATGGATAAATCAAAAATTTAAAATTTTTGTATATTTTAATATTAAATATATAGATTAATATAAATAAATGATTTTATTTATAGTCATTTAAACACAATGTACCTAGGTGGCCAAATACTTTTGAGCGGTAGTGTATATATAAAACTAATATAGTATTTATTATATATATATATATATATATATATATATATATAATATAATATAATATAATATAATATATATAAAGCACTGTGTGTTTTTAGCAATATTTATATTGCATAAAGCTTAAATAAATCTAGTTATAAATATTATTTTAAACAAATTATGTTTGGATTTTATTGTTCACATTTTTTATTTCTATTCAAAATCCTATTTTCCATGGAAATTTAAATGGAAATTTATGTTCAAACTATAACCATAGCAATGCTTTATATCAGATGAAAATGCTGTTTTTATTTTAATAGAATATTTTATTTTGTTTTTTAACAATTTTCGAGGAGTTGTCATACATCAAAATTATGTTTTCAAAATAAACAACATAAATATACTTTTACTAATATTTTTAAAAATATACTTTAATAGTTATTATGTATAATTTACATATCGTTAACTATCACATTATTATTTAAAATAAAATTACCAGAGAAAAAATTTCTGCAATCAATAATCTGCAGTTGATATGTATCTAAATGTATAATTATAGTATAAAACCGAGAAAGATTCTTAGTAAAAAACAAGAATTTTAATTGAATTTAATTAGTCATTTTATCTTTGATTTCTGATACGGATTTCTTATTAAATGAAAATTTAAACAAAAATTATCACAATAATAATTGCCACAGTATGTAAGATATTAATAAACATTTATAAGATATCAAGCGCAAAAATGCAATGAATGCAATAATAAAACTGTTATTATTAAATTAAAAAGCATCGTTAAGAAATAAGTAACGAAGAAAAATCCGTCATTTATGACAATTGATCACGTTGCAATATATTTCAAATGAAAAGGTTTATATCTCACAACATGTATAAACAGATAATAATATCAACGAACGCATGACGTGTATCTAATTACGTATGATATAAGTTTGTTATATATCTCAAAAATTTTTCCAGAAAAATAATAAGACTGTGACTATATGAAGACTTCATTAAATTTTCAAAGATGTTTTTAATAAGTAATTTACTCATTTAAGCATTTTCTTTAAAATATCGAGCAGAACATTTCTCGCATTATTGGCAACAGCTATCAGTGATTATTAATTTTTTAAATATTAAATATATAATTAAAAATTTATTTATCTTAATAGCAACTTTAAAAAGGTAATGCATTTATATAGATAATTTATTTTATTTAATATTATATTTTTTTTATTTCGGGAAGAGCCGCTGATGCTAGTAAATAAAATAGCAAACATATATGTATCTCCTAAAAATTATTCTGTAAATATTCCGGGCGGATCGTCTCAAGTTGAGGTAACAATAAAATAAAACAATAAAGAAGTGAAAATAAAATAATAATAAAAACGAATATAACAAAAACAAATCATTTTCGATACTTTTTCGATAAACTAAAATCAAGAGACACGGTGTCTCGCCGGTGAGCGCCAAGTTTTTTTAATTAAAACTTTTTTTACTATTTATCTTGTACAAATTTTTATTCTTAGTTGGCGCCATTTTTTTTTATCTTTTTTTTATATCACTATTTTTGTAGACAATATGACAGTTGGATACAATTAGTGCATGAACTTGGCGCCCTTTTTTTACCTTTTTTTAAAAAGGTAAGTTTTTGGGGATTAAATATACTTGAAAGGGAGGTTATCGAAAAATTCAAGCTGAAAATTTAATAATAGGTTCAAAAATTCAATAACAGATATAAATTTAAGAGCAAATTTTAAAAATATTATATTATCGATTTTAAGGGCGTTTATATTATAATTTTAATTTTTAACGGTTTTAATTATCCACAGTATAAATAAAAATATTAATATATTTGACGAGAATTTCTTCACCTACAATATTATAAAATAACATTATTAAATCAATATATACACAAAACAGGCATGTTAGGCAGATTTAGAGAGTCTAACAATATTTGTATGTATACAATCATATCATATGTCTTTACGCGACCTTTCCTTCTTTCTTATAGACACCAGTTTCTGTATTCTTCGTACTTTTCCTTAAATTCTCATTTTGTATTCAGTAATACACGAACTGTGATACATAGCGGATATCATGTCGACAGAACATGGAACGTCAAGAAGATTCGCCAAATATTGGGTATGGGATTATTTTTCGATAAAAGATGACTCTATAAGTAATTCGGTATGCGATATTTGTGGTACAGAAAGGGGCCATGAAAAGAATCAATTCGATTTAGTCGATATGGCTGAACATTTATCTACTAAGCATTCGGACAATTATAACATATTTATAATGAAAAAAAAGAAAGATTGGGAATCGTTCTTTAGAAGGGTGAAATGCTCAACTCATAGTACAACAAGCATTAATATAAAGTGTAAATTTTGTGATTCATATGAAACAGAGCTTCGAATATATATAAAATCCGAAAATATGAAAACACATTTAGAAGACGAACATAACGTTACGGAAAGTGAATGGGAACGTCTTCGAAGCTGGCGAGACACGAACCTCGAGAATTATTATGACCTGACTGAGGAACAAGGATCGATAAAAAGAACAAAATCGTGTAAGAAATGTGAACATCATGAGTTTGAACGTAGTAATCTATGCATTATGCTAAATCATATTATCCAAGTTCATCAATCCGACATTGCCTCCGGATCCGATTCACCTTCGGATAAAAATAAACTACATTTACCTTTGGATATACTACCAAAAGGGTAAGAAAAACGGCAAAACTCAAATTTTATTAATTTACCTATTTTGAATCATTTATATATACTATTGCATCATAATAACAAAAGAGAATCATGGATATAAAACTATAAAATTCATATATTTAGCACACATAGTATGTATTTACGATAAATATTTGGTATATATATTTGAGTCAATTTAACTTATTGTTAGGTGTTACCGCATAAAAATATTTATATATTACATATATAAATAAATATAAAATTTATTAGTTTAGTATTTCGATAATTGAGAGAGAGAGAGAGAGAGAATTTGTGAAACTTTATGTAAATATAAATTGTGAATATAAGTATAAAGAATTTCTTTTTAAATAATCGATCGAAAATTTTGGTTTTTTGATATAAAATTTTTAAGAATACTCAAGTTTTTGATAATATTTTAATAATAAAAGTATTTTTTGTCATTAAAAAATAATAGTTGAAAAATTTAATGATATATATTGTATTATGCATATAATTGAAGCTATATTTTATGTATTAATTAATACAATTATTTTTTATGTTCTAACAGATTAATTCCATCGAATGATCTTGTAGATCCTGTAGATCCTGTAAATCCTGTAAATCCTGTAGATCCTGTAAATCCTGTAGATCCTGTAAATCCTGTAAATCCTGATGTTGCATCGAGCAGCAATCCAGGGACATCGAGCAGCAATCCAGGGATATCGAGCAGCAATCTAGAGCCATCAGAATCTGGCCAATCTGAACTGATGCAAGAACTTGACAGTTTGGATAATTATATTTGGCAAATAGAAGATGTAGATGCTGCATCGACCGTGAATCCACAGTCACCAACATCTGACCTTTCTGATAGCAGCCTTCCAGAACGTGCCAGTAAACGCCGTAAAATCAGTCATAATACAAAAGGTGACGAAGATAATTAGTGATATTGCACGAAGCAACACCATAACATCGCTTCAACGTCTACACACACAAGTTCGGTCTCTAGATTTGATTTCTGATACTTTGTATCATTACATTGTAATCGAGACACTCTCCTGTTTATATCATTGAAAGTATTGATAAAAACAATGAAAACAATGAAAAGAATTTTTAACTAATAATTCAAACCATTGACATCTGAATAGATAGACGGAGCATTAGCTATCGATTAAGACGAGAAGAGCTTTGATAATCGCGGTAATGGGGAACTCTATGAACTTCGACTGAATTAGGTTATTCCCGATAATGATCAGTTAATAATTCGACTCTAACTTTTTTCATTAATATATATCAAATAAACAAAATAAATAACATCACAAAATATAACTTATTATTACATTCTTCCACTTAAACTTTAAATAAATAATTTATACTCATTAAACTAACAATCTTTTTCATATATTTTTTTCTACCTACTTAGTATAAATTAAATAAATAAATATATTTATATTCTTTATACTCAATAATAATATACCCCTAAAATTAAAATCTATCAATCCCCTCATTTCATCATTATATATTATATATATATATATATATATATATATATATATATATATATTAATATCAGAAAAATTAATATTTTCATTAATAAATTTACAATTTATTATTTTTATCAGACATAATACTCTTACATTTTAATTAAATACCTGCCCCCCCTCATTAACATCAAAGTTCAGCTCACATGCATTGTGCGAAGTTGTGTTGTGACTAATGTTATATTATTTTTATATTTATTATATTATTTTGAAATTTATATATTATTTATATAATTTATATTATTTATAATATATTATTTAATATATAACATATATATTAAATAATATTAATAAATAATATAAATAATATTAATATATATATATATTTATATTTATATATTAAATAATATATATAAGTTATATATATATATATATATATATATACATACATATATATATGTGTGTATATATGTATATATGTATATTTTATATATTATTTAATATTATTATTGTCATATATTATTTTTATATTTAATGGCATTAGCGATTTTCTCCAAATAAACACTCTTTAAACATTTCTGAAAATCTAGTTGAGAATCGATATCAATGGAATCGTTATGTAATGTCAAATTGTGCCGAATAGTCGAACGCTGACGGAATTAACCGAAGTTCATGCACTCCACCTTTACTGCAATTATCAGTTACTCCTATCAAAAGTTCTAAGGTTCGTCTATCTATTCAGATGTCAATGATTCAAATGGACTTATAAATCTCGAAGGAGATGATCAATATCGTAATATCGCTACACATCAATTAACCATCAGCAGTTAATTTAAGTAAAATTCTGATTTTGATTAGATCATTGTTTTTGATAGCTTTCATGAATTTGACGATTTTGTGCCATTATTTTATCTTTTAAATATAACATATTCATTATTGCATCCATTGTTTTTGACGAATATATAATGTATTAATCATTTATTTATCAAGCAAAGATTTCAAGTTTTTATATTGTTTTATATCATTTATATTTATAATTTATTAAATATAGATACAAACACAAAACACAAACACGCACGCACACACACAAACACACACAAAACACACACAGACACACACACAGACACACACACAGACACACACACCACACAGACACACAACAACACACAAGACACACACACAGACAACACAACAAAACACACAAAACAAAACACACCACACACACACACACACACACACACACACACACACACACGCAAGCACGCACGCACGCACGCATATATATACACGCGCGTGCGCGCTATACACATCATCATATATTATTATATGACCTATTATTATTTCTAGAAGAATAGTTTTTTAAACGTATTGCATGAACAAATATATTTATAAACCAGTAGATTTTTTATTCATTTCGTAGAAAATTGTATCAAAAGTGTAGTGAAAATAATGTAAAATTGATGTAAATATTTAAATTAAATGGCATTTTTGATAAGCATAACAATGTATCTTTTTAATTTATAATTATACGCACTTAAAAGTTTATTATATATGTATAATATTCGATTAATATTTATCTCTTCTTATCAATATAATGTTTTATGCTTTGATCGAACTAATTTCGCTAATTTCAAAATATTTTGCGGTTTTTATCATGTCTATTGTAATACTTGCGATTGTGAAAATTTTTATGTAATATTTTTTTAATTGATGATTATTATAGGCACAAAATTAGTAAGCTAATAAGTTTAGTACCTAATTATAAAAATTAAGATACATTAGACAGATTTAGATAGAAGATTTAATGCTAAACTATGCGTATCCATATTTACATTTATATACAAAATTATTCACTTTTAATCTTTTTCTTTTTTTTCTTTTATTATCTTCTATCATCTTCGTTATAAGTTCTAATATTTATATAAAACACTTTCCTTCGAAAGAATATATATTTAAAAAATACATAAAAACTCATCATATGTTATACTTATGGTAGTAATATCTCACAATAGAAAATTATATATAACAATATGAGATAACATTAAATAATAATAGTAAGATAATGCACTTTTGGTGATAAAATATTTACAATGACATTATATATTTCATAGATATATTTTAGAGAAAAAGAAAGAGACAGAATCTCTCCAAGATGTGCTCTTTTCCTTTCGTAATCACGACAAACAAATTTGTAATGCCCGGCGGATAGTGTCGAGTGTACTCGTACATTGAATACAAACGACCGGTGGCGATTATTATCGAGCTCGTTGGACGAGTAAGAGTGTCGCAACGTTTCCTCGCTTGCATGCCATGGTGCACTTTAATGAGCAACGAGGAGAATTTATTATTATTACTACTTGATAATATTTTTGTTTTGTGTACTGGAAAAGCAAGATCATTATAAAAAAGAATTAAGAGCAAAGTGTAATCATAAACATCATGAGACATGAGAGGTATACATAAGATAATTGAAATCTATGAAATGTATGAGATGGAAATAGACGATTCTTGATGATTTCATCTTCTTAACATTTGTCTCTCAAAATTAAAAGAAAGAAAATATATTTATAATTTCTAACAATCTTTGGTATTTTACACGAGAATACTTTCTAGAAACAGCTTAGTAAATTCCTTCTCTTTCTCTCTCTTTTTTGCAGTTGACATGAAGTGGTAAAAGTTGATTTTGATACAGCAATATTGCAAGAGCTATTATTTAAAATTCTGATAACATGCAATGTCTTTAATCTTACGCTTCGCACTTCGATACTATTGCTTTCTCCGAACTCGTAACTTCTTTGGTTGACCGGAGATTCGCAAGAATCATACATTCGACAAGATCAATTTAACATACATAATCGATAGCCGTTCACTATAATTTAAATTTAATTTATCTGGATTTCAATCTTTATATTTAATCGTTTATAGAATTGTATGTGAACTCATGAGAATTTACGTAGATTATCTCGATTATCATTACATTCATCGTGATGATTGTAATGCACGCTGTGTAAAAGACTCAATTATTATATATATATATATATATATATATATATATATATATATATATATATATGAAGATGTTTGAAATAAAATAATACACCTATAAACTTATAAACTCATAAATATGTAGCTGCTCGTTGCAAATATTTTTTTCTTAAAAACAATTATGTTTTCTTTACACTAATTGATATCTCTCATGATTTTGTGTCAAAAGTATTCAAATAAAATAATCAAAAGATGAATATTTTATGAGAATATTTCAGAAAGTGTTTATATAAAATTATGTCAAATTAAAATAACACATATGTCAAAAAATCTCGTAAACTATTCCATTTTTGGCCATCCTACTCTTATAATTTTTTACGCTGAATATTACGAGGAATCGATTTAGATAAAAAAATTAGAGTTCCGTTTAAAAAACTGACGGATAAGATATAAAGTGGAATAATGATGACATCATTCCAATTTGCTTCCTTTATACAACTTTTCATCGAGCAATTATTGCGTAACACCTGTTTACAAGTTTCATATTCAGGTATTATTTTAACCCCCAAAAACTTACCTTTTTAAAAAAAGGTAAAAAAAGGGCGCCAAGTTCATGCACTAATTGTATCCAACTGTCATATTGTCTACAAAAATAGTGATATAAAAAAATTGCGCCAACTAAGAATAAAAATTTGTACAAGATAAATAATAAAAAAAATTTTAATTAAAAAAACTTGGCGCTGCCAATTTTATTAATATATTGTTCAACTTAAAAGTCTAAATTTTCAAATCCAGAAGATCTTAAGAGAATTAATAATAAATGTCCAGCAATTATATTTGCTGTTAAACATATATTTAATTGGAATATATGCCAATTTTATTGGCAGCGCCAAGTTTTTTTAATTAAAATTTTTTTTACTATTTATCTTGTACAAATTTTTATTCTTAGTTGGCGCAATTTTTTTATATCACTATTTTTGTAGACAAAATGACAGTTGGATACAATTAGTGCATGAACTTGGCGCCCTTTTTTTACCTTTTTTTAAAAATATTATCAGACGTTCAGACGTCAGACTAAATATTCAAGTAAAATTCGAAATTCGTTGATTCAAAAAATAATAAAGATAAGTAAAAATTGAAAATTGTATATAAGACAAAAATATTTGCAATATTAACATAAAAATATGTAACCTTAAAATATATATAAATATATTTTAAGAAAACATAAAATGTTATTTTTTTTGAGTTGTCAAGATAAATTACATTTTAAACCCATCAAATTTTAAAACATTTTAAAATCCATTTATTAACACTTGAATTTTCAGACAATTGTTTTCAATAACTTACCTTCAACATCTCCGTTGCTGGATCTCATCAATAATCATAAATAAATAAATAAATAAATAAATAAATAAATAAATATATATATATATATATATATATATATATATTTGAAGGAGATTACCGACTGCATAATAAATTAATTGGTACATAAATGTCAATTATTTGGATCGATCGTATCTAAGGTCCGAATATAATGTATCCAATTAAAGCAAATTAATAGCTGAAATTATGTCGTATGAATTTATTATTATTATTATTATTGTTATTATTAAAGCTACATATTTATTCTTATTATTATTACTATTATACATATTATATTCGGGCCTTCGATACGATCGATTCAAATAATTGACATTTATGTACCGATCAATTTATTATGCAGTCGATAATCTCCCGCATGATAAAAAGATTGACACAAGCATTAAAATTCACCCTGTATAAAGGCAATGTATTAAAAAAAAAATTTATGCAAATTTGTTTAAATAGTATAATCAAAATTGCAATCAAAATTATGGAGATACAATTTCTATGATAAGAGACATCTACAATAACATTTTTATGAAAAGAGGCACTACAATTCTTTGAAAATTCTTCTAAAAAAAAAAAAAAAAAAAAAAAATACACATGAGAGAACACCGTATATTTATATTAGTATATCGCATGCAGCGCATATTCTATTTACAAAGATCGAATTATTCATTTAGAAGCACGCTTATTAATTTTCGATTAATTTTTTTTATGCTCATCTATTATATAAATACTATATTAATTATATGTTAATATTTTTTATATCTTTCTAATATCAATATTTCATTCTTTTTTTGCAACTTCATTATAAAGTATTTCATACAATTTTAAGGATACATAATATGTACAATAAAGCATTGTGATTTTAAGGATACATAATATGTACAATAAAGCATTATGATACATTTTATAATTCGTACTTCTTTTAAATAATTTCTCTCTTATATTTTATTTGTTTATTGATATTTATCTTTCTCTGTACAAAATTTTATGGAAATAGAATGATTGAATAATTTACAATTATCACGAATTACATCTGCATTATCTATGATTCGTCTTGTGTAGCTTCCCTTCGATGTATGACCAATAATAGTATTACAAATGCATCAATAAGCCGGAAGACAAAATCGTAGATAATTCACACAAAGAAAATACATAATTATTAAATTAATGAGAAAATTTGACAAAATAAAACGGCAACTTTTCAATAAAGATTTCGACACGCATTCAAAACACAAAAAAAATTCCAACATAATTTTGACATATATCGCATTGCATATACATTGCTAAATAATTTTAGTCATCGAATAAAAAAAGAGCAGAAATATATTATTTAAATTATTTTCGATTCCATCATGTTTATATATCTCATGTTTCGACTGTACAACATTATAATACATGTAAGTCTACTCCTTATAATCTTTTCTTTCTCGAAGAGGAGCAACTTTTCCAAGAAAAACACTATCTACCTCTACATTCTGTACATTCTCTCTGTAATTTGAAAAATATGTCTTCCCTAACAATATTTTATCAGGCAATACTTTTGCAAAATAATTGCTTATAATCATTAGCATACAATTAAACGATTTCTGTCTGGAAAATACACACGACAGATCGTTCCATTATTAGTTAACTGCAGAAATAAGTCTTGGCAGTTGGCACTTGGCAGGAATGTCTTCAGAAGGCAGAAACGATGGCCGTTTGATTCCCGCTAGTCATTCATCACATGTGCACCACCTTCGGCGTGCTGAAATCATATTTTATGTAATTATATTGCGATATTTATTTATTTATAAAAAATAATAAATAATTGATTGATGAAATTAAAAACAAAGAGATACTAATGTTCTATAAAATATAATTAAAAATTTATAATTATTTAAAATCATGAGATTATATAATTATATAAAATATAATTAAAAATTATAATTATAATATAACTATAAAATAAAATATAATTAAAAATATAATTTTAACTATAAAAGTAAAATAAAATATAATTTATAAATATAATTTAACTATAAAAATAAAATAAAATATAATAAATATAATAAAATATAATAAAAATAATAAAATAAAATATAATAAATATAATTTAACTATAAAAATAAAATAAAATATAATTTAAAAATATAATTTCAACTATAAAATAATATTAATTATTCAATATTAATAATCAATATAATTAATTATAATTAAAAATTTATAATTATTTATAAAATCATGAGATTGTCCCATCAATAAAATGCGTGGAATAAAACACCTGTAAAATCAACTAAAAATTTAAAATCATAAATCTAAAAATGAAATAATGAAACTTTAGACTGTCAATTTAAAAAGTTTATATAATTTATATGTAATAACAACACGACAACTAATAAAAATATTAAAATTTCTGTAAAATAATAGAATCAATAGATCACGATTTTATATAAAATTGATAAGCTGTAAAATAGAAAAACGTATTTATACTTTACCTCTTGCCCCACAACCAATTCAAAAGCACACTCGACTGGCTCTGAACATCTCGAGCTGTGAACAAATATCGAATCATCCATTTGTCATTCGCACTGATGCGCAACTTTTTGTACACTCAATATTTACTGACTATTGCGTACTCATAAAGGAATACCTACAGAGGGTGTAATTAGCGTTGACCAGCCTCGCGGCTGCTTCAGGTGGCAATGTACTTAAAACATCTCTGTGCGCTAACAAAGACATTTGTTGCGTATGTTCAGCTTCCGTTCGTCCTTTAATCGCACGTCCTTCGTGTGACTGACTGAATGCAACTGCGACAATCTAAAGGAAGAATCTAGCTTGTATCAAACTACGAGCAAGTTAGCAGGGTGAGCGAGGCATTTGAATATTCTATTGAAGAAGGAAAATATTTTCCACTCTTCAACATTATTTGAGGAGGGCATTACTTTTGCAGGATAAGCATTCTACGAAGATGCACTTCGATTTCTACTGGTCGACAAAATAATGAAATTTTTGTGACTTTACGAGATCACGGTGATCTTAATTTAAACTCGTAAGCTCTAAAGCAAAGTTGTCATCATTGTTCGCGCCAATGGAGTAACCAAGCAGCGGACTAGGACGAAGAAAAATGTTATTAGTCCGAAAATCCTCGATTTTTCATTAAAACAAAAATTGTCGCGCGTGAAAATTTTAATTTTTCTTCCGAAAATACATATTTACAAGATCTACTTTCTCGTGTAAACATCTGGTCAAATATAAGTATCAAATCATCAATCAAAGTGATAGCATTAAATTTTTTTTAGCAGACGAACCGAGTTACAGGAACTATACTGGGTGTTAAAAGTCTGGACACGGTCGAATATCTCGATAAGGAAGAGTTTTACTAGAAAGTGTTTGAGACAAAAGTTGTATGACTTGAAGGGGCCATGAGATGGTGGCAATGATTTAACCTTGAAAAGTCATTTGAAGATCACATGAAGGTTACCGTCAATTTCTTAAATGAAACCCCCATTTTTTATTCCATATTCTTGTAGTTTATCTCGAGGGCTTTCCAAAACGCTATAATTAAGTTAGTTTTCCTTAAGTACTTTCCGAGTTATAAGGCTTGAAATAATTTCTTAATTTTACATAAACCGTAAAATATCTTGCAAAATATTCATTTGTCGATTATCTTACCTTAATATTTTTACCTTAACTTTATGTACAAAATAATGAGAGGAATCAATTGGTGTAGAAAACACACAGTTATTTTTAAGAAAAAATATGTAATTGTTAATTGCAAATTACATATTTTTTCTTCGATACAATTATGTGTTTTCTTTACACCAATTGATTCCTCTCATTATTTTGTACAAAAAAGTATTAAGGTAAGATAATCGAAAAATGAATATTTTCCAAGATATTTTACGGTTTATGTAAAATTAAGAAATGATTTCAAGCCTCATAACTCGGAAAGCACTCAATAGAAAAATACTTTATTATAGTGTTTTGGAAAGCTCTCGAGATGAGCTACAAGAATATGTAAAAGCATATAGGGCGTCCCATTTAAAAAGTTGGAGGTGACCTTCACGTGACCTTCAGGTGACTCTTCACGATCAAAATAGTGACACCGTCTTATGTGTCCCTTGAAACCATACAACTTTTGTCTGAAACATTTTTTTCTACAATCAAAATTAAAAAAGTTATTCAGGGTGATCGATTAAAATAGGACCCTGATTTGTAATTTTTAATTAGGAAATTTTTCTTACTTCAATGCAAGAGCTTCTTTGTCCTCGATCGGGATATCAATGGCTTCTTTTGCGATCTCAACTGGTCCCTCGGACTTCGAAGGCGAAGGTTGTTCCACGATGGGTTCAATCACCGTTTGCGAGGCCGATGATAAGTCTTTTGTTGGGCTCCCTTCAACGTTACCCATCCTTCTCAATTCTTCATTCACTCGAATCGCATTAGACAGTCGCAGTTGTAGCGTATCTCGCTCTTCGAGCAATTGCATTAGTTCGTGAGTCAACTCCTCGCATCTGACATCTCTCTGATGAAGCATGTATAGCGCAAGATCCAACTCGCTGGAAGTGGTCTCCATGTTGTCGACTGTCTGAACGCTTTCCGAATCCTTGGACGCAATCTCGACGACGGACGCATCTTTCTTCAAGGCGTGTTGCATCAGTTCGTACTCGGATACCTTCTGCTCCAACAATTCCTTCAGCTGATTCATCTCTGTTTCCCTAGTCGCCAATATATACCTCAGCTCGTCCAGTTGTCTCTCCTCTTCCGTGGACAAGGCCAAGAGCTCCTCTATACGCGCCTCTTTCTCATGAATCTGCATCTTCAAGTCGTGAAGTTCGGCATCTTTGGTGATGCTCGCTCGGCCAGTCTCCTCTCCTTCTCCGCCAGGTCGTCGGTTGCACGAATCAGTGCGTTTTCCTTCTGTTCCAGTTTATTGCTTCGATCATTCACAATTACCTGCAGTTCCTCCAACTGCATCTTCAGATTCGCGATATCCTTATCTTTCAGTTCAAGTTCCGCCAGCAACTTTTGATTTTCCTCTGATAGTCTCCTCTTGATCTCATCGATCTCGGATTCCTTCTTTCGCAACTCGTTGGTGAGGAACTCTTCAGCCTCGAGACGGATCTGCTCTTTTTCCGAAGTTAGCTTCTCGATGGCATTTTTACTCTCCTCGGAGAGCCTCTCCAAGTCTTTCAGATGCAAGATTCTCTCTTGTAGCTCCACGATAGTTGACTTTAACGTTTGCACCTCCTGTTCCTTGCCATAGATCTCTCCCGTCAATCGCTGCACGGCTTCGCGCAATTCGAACTCGTCCGATTGGGGGCTCCATACTGGCTTGCAGACACAATTGCGAGTCCTTTTCAGCTATGACGTACTTTAATTCGTTAATTTCCTGCTCCCTCGCATGAAGCTCGTTCTGCAATCTGACGATTTCCTCTTGATCTTGCGCGGATCTTCGGTCCCTGGAGAGCGAATTGGACTCCTCCTTGGAAATATGCTCCTGGTTCTGATCATGAATGCGTTGCAAAGCATTTACTTGCTCCTGCTTCTCCGTCAGGGTCTGCGAAGCTACTTGCAAGGAGGTTTCCAGGGTAGCTTTCTCATTGTACAGACAATTAATCCTATCTTGCATTTGCTGAATGATTGTGGGATACGTATTCTCGCTCAAGACATACTTGAGATGCTCCAACTCTTGCTGTTTAGCTTCCATCTGCGCCTTTAGCTCGTCTATGGTGCCTTGCAGCTCGGCATCGTCGTCATTTCCCGTCTTGAAGGCAAGACTATCAACCATCTGAGAATTCTGCAGCTGTTCATTGCACAATCTTTCTAAATCGCCTCGTTTTTCGTTTAATTCCTGACTCATGATCTCCAACAAAGAATCTTTGTCACTCATCATGGCCTTGATGCCTTCCAAATCATTCTCCTTGGCGCATAATTGGGTGCTTAGATAGTGCAATTGTTCAGTCTTCTCTCGCAGGTCTTGCTTCAAAGCGTCAACCTGCTGGTTATCTTTCTCCAGACGAGCTTGATACGCCTTCGTTTCTTGATCATACTGCAACAGGATCGACTCTTTCTCGGATTTTAGAGCCTGGATTTCTTGCTGCAAGGTATGAATGTGCGAGTTGCACTCTTGTAAATTAACCACGGTTGCTTCCCTGGCGTCCAACTGGTTCTTCAGATATTCGAGCTCCTCTAAGTATCCTTTTATTTTTGCCTCGAGATACGTCTTCTCCTCTTCGTATTGGATCAGCTCTTGTTGCTTCTCTCGCAATTTTTCGTTCAGCAAATTTGCATCAGCCTGAGTGGCTCCGATTATTGAATTTCGCTCTGTTAGATCTTCCTTCAGATACACGATTTGTTGTTGTTGCATTTCCAACTTGGCCGCGCTATCTTGCAACTTCAGGGTGTATTCGTCAATCGCAGCTTGCATTGTCGTTAACTTTTCCCTTAGATCGCGCAATTCTTGGTCTTTTTCTTCGACCTCTATCGCATGCTTCTGGATTAATTCCTGGGTAGCTTCGCTGATGATGGCATTCACCGTTTCCACGCTCTTCTGCTGGATCAGCTCGTGTTCCTTGTTGGTGAATGCTTCCTTCAAGACTGTCAATTCTTGTTTCCTCTCGTCTAATTCTTTCGTCAAGGTTTGTAGGTCCGATTGTAGCGTCGCTTCGACTCTTTCCCTTTCCACGTACTGAACTTGAAGCTCTTGCTTCAGATCAGCGACCTCTTGAACTCTGGCGTTGAGCAATTCCGTGACTTCCATTAAAGATGTATTAATGGTCGAGGATTTTTCCTCGAGATTCATCAGAGCGTTGAGCTTCTCTTCCAAGACCTCCTTCTCTTCTAGAGCTTTCTGTAAATTATTTATCTCCGTTTCTAATCTATCGATTTTCTCCAGAAATTCAGCTTTGAGGAAATCATTATTTTGTCGCATCGCTGCCACTTGATCATTCGCGTCTATTAGACTCTGCTCGAACTGCTTCCTGAGCACGTCGTATTCTTCCTTGCCTTTGTTTAAAGCGCTTTCTAGGGCCGCATTTTGGTTATTCAACGTATCTAACTTTTCCACGAGTTCTCCAGAGTTGTCAGTAGCCTTCGCCTCCAAATTAGCCATCGTCGCCTTCTGTACTTCCAAGAAGCGTTGCAATTGTTCATTTTCCGCCGCAAGCGCCTCCAATTCGTCCTTCAAATCGTCTATTTCTTCTTTGTACTTCTTCGACGTCGCTTCAAAGTCGTCAGTAGATTCCACTGATCTTTTCTGGGGGTGATTTGGGTCGATCTGATCTTCTTGTTGCGAAAAAGAAGTGTCTTGCACGTCGGTTGCATTTTCCTGTAATCGCCACTCCAAGGATTGCACTTTATTGCCTAGTTCCTTGTTCTGAATACGCAATACTTCGACTTCCATGTCCTGTTTCTCCTTCATTTCCATGTACCTTTCATTGGCAGACACCAACATGTCGAGTCGCTTCAGTAAAGCCTCTTTTTCGGCAATAATATTTTTCTTCTCCTCTTTAATTTCCTTCAGAGTTTTCTCCAAATTGACGATCTGCGTCTTCAGCTCCTCCTCGATCGCCGTGTCCAGGTCGAAGAAGCTGCCAGCCTGCTTCTGCGTCTTCAATTGTTGTTGCAAGCTCTCCATCTGCACTTTATACTCCTTCAATTTTTTCACCAATTTAGCGCTCTTTATCTGAGCCGCTTTACTCTCCTCGGTAATCTTGGCGTTTTGCTCTTCTAGATCTTTTATCTTGGCTTGCAAGTCTTCTATTCGCAGGTGTAATTGGGTTTCGACACTTAGAATTACCGACGTATCTCCAAACCCCAACCCCAAGACTCTTCCCCGGACTTTCACCCACATGCGATATGAATAACATTTTTCTTCTCTAATCCATGATTTACTTGGCTCACCTTACCATTAAAAATAACTGTGTTTTCACTACATTTCTCCATATAAATAGTCTCCCCAAGCATACACCTAAAAATTACAAACATTGTTTTAGCTTAGAAAGAACGATTATTATCGTTATGCGATAATTTAATCTTATGTTTATACCTTTCCATCACTGGTCAAAACGAGAAAATGATGAAAGCGGCATGCAATGTTCACGATACGTTTCTTGCTAAAAGCCGGAGACTTGAGTAAATGCGGACTTGATAGGCCATTCTCAATAAATCTGTCTTTACCGAATTTCCAGATGTAAACCTTTAAAAGTAGTATAGTTGTAATACATTTTCTGATTTTTTGTATCTTATTTCATAATTATATGTATGTGTGGTTTTGTTTTTAATTTCTACAAACACATTGAATGTAAAAAAAAAATAAAAATGTGCTGCAATCTCTGTATTCTTGTTATGAAGTAGTTTTCCTTTATAATTTTGTCAATTAGAAAAAAGTTACATCATTACTCCACATAATTTTAATTTTAAAATATCTTAATCTTAAAAAAAAATTTTATGTAAAATAATATTATGGCAAATATCTGTACTTAATAACGTTTAAACGTCTAAGCAAGTTACAGTTAGAAGGCTATAAAATCTCATTCTATATAAATCTTATTTTCACAAGTTTAAAAATTATTTATTCGTACAAATTCAAATATACCAAGGCACTCAAAGAAGAATATGAACTCTTGATATATCTCCTCTTCTGGTAAGTAGCAAGGAAAAAATACAACGCAAGCAAAAAGTCTATTTTCCACATAACTCTTACTTAATTAGTTGGGAGCAATAAAGTGTCCACCAGTCTTTGAATCTTCATTATAACTTAAATCGTACACATTCTTGTTTTCGTCAGACTTATAGCTTTACCAACGACACTTCAAATATTAAGAAACAATATGATGTATATAATAATATAATATACATTTATATATATATGGCAATTAACAATGGCATTTTTAAACCATTATGTATTTTTCCTTCACCACCGAATGGATTCTATGTCATATTTAAACTAAAGTATAAAAGGTAAGTGACAAATGAATACTTTCTTACAGAATTTTACGGCATATGTTTTAAATTCAGAAATGACTTCAGGCCTCATAATCTCGGAAAGTACCTCTAATGAAACTAACTAATATGGTGTTTAGAAATCACTCGAGATGAAACCAAGAATAAAATATAAAAGCCATAAAGTATTCCATTTAAAAAAGGTTGGAGGTGACCGTTTAGGTACTGATCAAGGTCAAATCAAGGACATTCTATGAGTCCCCTCGAACCATACAACTTTGTTTAAAACATTTCACCAAAACGCCATGCGTTTCGAGATATTCGAGATGAAAAATGGCTATATATACTAATACCTGTTGTACCAAATTTAGTGAAACATCTATTTTATGCCGCCTAAGCATTTTTGAACAAAAATGTCAATAAATAAACTAATTAAAAAAAGTTAAATTTTTTTTCTCACTTCAAAGCTTGGATCAGGGATCAAATTACACTTAAAAATGATTTTGTAACTTCAAAAAATTCACCACTCAAAAATTGAACACGAAAATAGGTATCATTTTTCTTATTTAACTGAAAAAACCAAGGTCATCTTGACATTTTTTCAAAATCTCGCCAGATGAGCAAAAAAACTGGATGTTTTAAGCTAAACTTTCGCGCCTACTCTGTAAAGTTAAATTACATCAATACAATTGGCGGGAGTGGCTGATTGACGTGGACATGACCCAATATCAACATATATATACCAAACAATTATCTAACTCCGAAAATCCCATATATCCGACCACCCTCGTACATAAAATGGTAAATTCTTACCAAATACCCATAACCTCGTGGAACTATTCGTCGCGCATGATTCCCGACTTAGCATATGAAAGAAGCCCACTTTTAAATCCATATCGTTATCTTCTTCTTCCTCCGCCTAGAAGCAATTGCAAGATCTC